TAAGGGCATGGAGTAGATTCTCCTGCTCTGATCCAGGCATTGAGCTGTCACGTCATAAGATCTGCATTTTGGGGTTGTCATTTTCCTGTCTTGTCCTGCAAACAGGTGTGATCATCCAGGAGGAAAATAGATGAACTCAGAGATTAAATAGAGATCAAGAATTGAATTCAGTTGATAGTTGATTGAGTGGGGGTTCACTCCGAAATCCTTTTAATTCATGAACTTTATGCAAAATCTCTGTGCTCAGAAATGGAAGAACAACTTGTGGCAGCCTCAGCACTGAGATGTTGTGGTCAGCTCTGGCTACTGTAATAAAACATCATAGACCGGATGGCAGAAAGAATAGAGATTATTTCTGTCACAGTTCTGGAGGCCAGGAGTCTGAGGTCAGGGCACCAATATAGGTGGATAGTATAGTGAGGGCTCTCTTTCAGGGTCACAGAAGACTACCATCTTTCTGCGTCTTCACCTGGGGTGGGGGGAGAGTGAGAAACAAGAGCAAACTTTCAGGTGTACTAATCCCATTATGAAGAACCTACCTTCATAAATTCATCGAAATCATATCTCTTTCCAAAATTACCATCTCCAAATGCTAAGATAATGGGATTAAAGCTTCAGTGTGAATGCTGAGAGACACAATACCTTCCACAGAAGGACTGAGGTTAATTCAGATGGGCTCTGTGGGAGCAGACTTAGCCTATGGGGGTGTCCCATAAGGTGATCAGAGGGCAAGAGGAAGTTCCTGTGAGCTTAGAGCATAGTGTGCGGATTACTAGCAATGGTTTATGCTCACGTAGACAGAACAGTTATGAGTTAGGCAGTGTTCAGAGTACTTTACTTTATCATAGATATATTTTTAAAGATTTATTTATTTATTCTAAAGGCAGAGTTACAGAGAGGCAGAGGCAGACAGAGAGAGAAGTCTTCCATCTGCTAGTTCACTCCCCAGATGGCCACAATGGCTGGAGCTGCACTGATCCAGAGCCGGGAGCTTCCTACGGGTTTTCCACACAGGTGCAAGGGCCCAAGGACCTGGGCCATCTTGCACTGCTTTTCCAGACCACAGCAGAGAGCCGGATCAGAAATGGAACAGACAGGACTCGAACTGGTGCCCATGTGGGATGCTGGAGGTTCAGGTGGTGGCCTTATCTGCTGTGGCACAGTGCCAGCCCTATCGTAGGTATCCTTCAGTTTGTTCTATTCTTCCCTTCAGAGCCCATTAAGAGACAGGCTTCTGTGAGGATACTGGTGCCGTTCCATTGAGGTGTCCCAATGTGTTGTTTTAGTAAAGAGCAATCTCAGAGTTGCAGGTAATTCAGTTGTTGCCCTGATCATATAACATCTTTGCATGTATTTGGGGACAGTTCAAAGAAAGACACATTATAAGAATATGGGGAAAGCCACTATAATCCAAAAGTTGTACTTTGGAAAGTTATATTCATTAAATAAAAGTTTAAAAAAAGAATATGGGATAAACATGGGTATTTCAACAAAGTTAATGGAAAATAGAATTCAGATATAAGCAGTATACAGGAGGGCATTTGGCCTATATGTTAGGAGGCCAGTAGAGAAGCCTGCACCCCATATTGGAGTACTTGGTTTTTATATGCATCTCTAACTCCTGAATCCTGACTCCTCTGTTAATACAGAGGGAAAACATTGGTGATGGTTCAAGTAATTGGGTTCCTACCATTCAAGGGGTGAGGCCTGGACTGAATTCCCAGCTCAATGCTGTGGAAATGTTGTGAGCATTTGAGCTGTAAAACAGTGGACAGGAGCTATCTGTCTCTCAAATTCTCAAATAAATTAAGAGTTTATTTTGGAACAAAAATTTTTATGCACCTAAATAGGAGTCATTAATAGGAAAATGTATGTTATGAAAAAATCTCTTCATAGATTTGAATTTTCCCTCCAAACAATCTTTATTTTCATTTTGTTTTTGACAGGCAGAGTGGACAGTGAGAAAGACAGACAGAGAAAGGTCTTCCTTCGCCGTTGGTTCACCATCCAATGGTCACTGCGGCCGGCGCATTGTGGCCGGCGCACCACGCTGATCTGATGGCAGGAGCCAGGTACTCATCCTGGTCTCCCGTGGGGTGCAGGGCCCAAGCACTTGGGCCATCCTCCACTGCACTCCCTGGCCACAGCAGAGAGCTGGCCTGGAAGAGGGGCAGCCAGGACAGAATCCAGCGCCCCGACTGGGACTAGAACCCGGTGTGCCGGCGCCGCAAGGTGGAGGATTAGCCTAGTGAGCTGCGGTACCAGCCTCATTTTTCACATTTTAAAGCACGCTCTCATATGCATATACACAGTTAGGCTTTCCTCCAAAGTGCCGGTTTCTAAAATAATTCTCTGAAGTTGGTGGGTTGGGTTATTTTCTCTGTCACCCCCACTTCTCACCCAGGGTGAGGATTTTTTTTAAGGTTTATTTATTGATTTGAAAGTCAGGGTTACAGAGCAAGAGATGGAGAGACAGATCTTCCATCTGCTGGCCTACTCCCCAGATGACCATAAAGGCCAGGACTGGGCCAAGCTGAAGTCAAGAGCCAGCAGTTTCATCCAGGACTGCCCCATGAGTATCAGGGGCCCAAGTGCTTGGATCATCCTCTGTTGGTTTTCCCAGGTCATTAACAGGGAACTGGATCAGAAGTTGTGCAAAGCCAGCATTGAGGCATAGAGAGTAAAGCAGCCAGCCACCTGTGATGCTGATATCCCATATGGGTGCTGGTTCAAGTCCAAGCTGTTCCACTTCCAATCCAGCTCCCCGCTAATGTACCCAGGAAAGCAGTGGAACATGGCCCAAGTGCTTGGGTCCTTTCACCCATGTGAGAATTGTAGATGAAGCTCCGGTTCCTGGTTATGGGCCTGGCCAAGAAGTGGCCATTGTGCCAGTTGGGGAGTAAACCAGAGGATGGAAGATTTTCTCTCTGCCTCTCTCCCTCTCTGCCTCTCTCCCTCTCTCCCTCTTTCTGTCTGTTCTCCTTTCTCTGTGACGCTTTCAAACAAATAAATATTACAAAAAATAAGAGTTAGAGGAACCAGGACAGGAACTGGCAGTGGCACCCATATGGCAGCTTTACATGATACAACACAACACAGACTCCCAGGGTGAGTTTTAACACAAGTTGTTGGAACAGCATGCTGACTTCCTCTTAGTTCTTGATGGGATCAGCCAGGGTCATTGAAAATACTCGTGTAAACCTGCAGGTACCAAAACCTGGAGTGGAGACATGAACTGCTCCAGGTCACCTCATGTGCCAAGGGTGGCTGTACATTGTCATGAGAGCCCTTCAATTCACAGATGTCTGCTCAAGGGCAGGTGCCTTGGCCTTAGAAGAAGCAAAGGTAAAGATTGCATCTGTCACCAGAAGAAACAGCCACGTCTGTCATAGAGCCCAGAGACTTGACTTCTTGGCATCACCCTTGTCAGGGATTCCTGGGTCACCTTGAACAAGTCACCTAATCTCTTTGAGACCTACTTATGCAGTGCTAAGGAGAGGAGTTTAATGAGGTAGCTGTTGAGGCCAGGATCACAATCAGATCTGGAGATTCTGTAAGTTGCACAGATTCTGGAAGACACAGAGGCAGTCATAAGATATTTTCTTTGGTGTCTCATGAATTAACATAATTAATATCTCTGCTTTCAGAATGAATCAGTAATGTGAACAACAGTTCTTTATTTTTGACAGAGTTAGACAGAGAGAGAGAGTAAGAGAGGTCTTCCTTCCATTGGTTCACCCTCCAAATGGCTGCTGCAGCCGGCACACTGCGCCAAAGTGAAGCCAGGATTCAGGTGCTTCCTCCTGGTCTCCCATGCAGGTGCAGGGGCCCAAGGACTTGGGCCATCCTCCACTGCCTTCCCGGGCCACAGCAAAGAGCTGGACTGGAGGAGGAGCAACCAGGACAGAATCCAGCGTCCCAACTGGGACTAGAACCTAGTGTGCTGGCACCGCAGGCGGAGAATTAGCTAAGTGAGCCATGGCACCGGCCTGAACAACAGTTCTTGATCTCAAATTGGACAAATTTTAACTGATGTAAAAAGGAAGAAAGAGCGCAGATTTGTGCTGTCCAATATGGTAGCCACCAGCCACATGTGAGTATTTAAATATGAAATAACTTCAATAAAATAAAACAAGAAATGCAGATTCTCAGTCACATGGCCACATTTCAGGTGTTCAGGAGCCACCGATGCCTGGTATCTGTTTTACAAGCTTCCTTCTGCCACTCAGCACTGCCCTGGAGCTTTGCCAGGACCAAAGGCTCCCTATCCTTGGAAAAGACTACAGGTGTTTTGGGCCTAGGGGGACTGGGCCCATCTTTGGGGAATGAAAGAATGGATGAAAAATCCCTTGAGGACAAAGCAGTGCAAGAAACCTCTAAGGCAAAGGATGGTTATATTGGTCAAGGGTTTGAGAAATATGGGAAGGCGGGGATGTTGGGAAAAGGATAAAGAAACGTGTGAACCATTCTGTTCCTTTGCTCTTGACTGTTCCTGGAGCTCTGGATCACACAGGACTACAAGAGGGAAGTTCCTTATACAGATTGTTACCCTATGCACAACTGATTCCTACAGTGGGAAAGTACGAGAGGAACAGGGATCTCCTAAGCCCCAAGAAAGGAAGGGCCTTCTCATAACTCAGTGCTGGGGAAAATGGTAGTCCCTTTCACATGTTAAAGAAGGGAAGGTTGTTGCCTAACAGGACAGTGGCAGGAATGGGAAGAAGTCAGGCTGACTTGAAATGAGGAAGAAGGTAGCCACTTTATCTGGAGGCTGGCAACTTAATTACAGATGTGTGCAGTCAAAGCCATCTTATATTTTGAAGCGTAGGCTTCTGTGTACACAGAATCCATGCCAAAGGAGAAGGTTGAGTTCTGCCTTCTTTGCCAGCCTGGCTCGCGGGGGCCAAGCCTGTGAGGAGGCAGATGGGAGTGTAATTTGCCCTTCTGTCTGGAAGCCATCTGTGAAGGGAATCCCCTTTGTCTTCTGAACTGCCTTCCAGGCGCAGCCACGGGGATGACACTGAAGATGAGAGCAGCAAGTTCACTGACAATGTTGAGGAAGAGGCCGCACGTGGAAGAGCCAGCAGCAGTGACATTGGTGCCAGGTTCTGCCATTCCCTTCTGAGATCTGGTGCGTCTGGCAGCTGATGGGGACCTGGAATGACAAAGTAAGTTTTTAAATAAGCCACTTCTCAGTCAGATCTCTGCCCTCCCTGAGCTTCTCAGCCGCCTCTCTAGCCCATATCCTTATTCCACTTTCCCTCGGATCTGCACATAGTTTTACTGCTTCTATTTCTTCCTTCTGCTTCCTGCCCCCTCTCCCCACTTTTGCCCATTTACTCTCTGGAGTTGTGAGTTCCGAGTGAGTTGTCAGTTCAGAAAATTGTTTTAGTCCATCTTATTTCAACACCTGTGAATGTTTCTATGCAGGCACCTGTGAAGTCACTGGGCATACTCTGTGACCCCGACAGACAACAGTTCTTGCTCTCATGAAGGCTGCCTCCTATTACATGAGCGAAACCTGAACAAATAATAAGTTAAGTGCATTATGCTTACAATTTAAAATTCTGATGAGTGTGATTGTTTTGTCCTGTGTTCCCAGGTCCCAGTTTATCATCTACTGACTTAAAACTGGCTGGTGGTAATTCACATAGCTGTAGAACCCACAATAACACGTTTCCTATTGTCATGGTCCTCATTTCTTTTCCATATGGTGTAAGGAAATTTTGCTTTTCTTTCAAAGGCCACCTTGAACACAAGAGGTTCTGAGACTCAGGATGTTTTGAGACCAAGGTTTTTAATTGTGGTGCTGTATCCAAGTAGCTGTGGAGATATAGGCAAGTCTAATCCTTCCTGAGCCTTGATTGTCTTCCTGAAAAATAAGGAAGCTGTTGTAGGTCTGTGAGGTCACTTCATGCTCTGGGGTGTGTCTGAGTCAATTATGGAATAAGATGTCTGTAATAGAGATCAGTAACAACTGTGGTCAAGAGCATACCCAACCCTGATTATGTTTCCTTCAGGAGCATCTCGCTGAACCTTTGGCCTGAGAATGCAGAACAAAAAGAGCATAATAGGAGATGCAGTGCCTGGTGGGTGGGAGATCCAAGAAGACAAAGAGAAGAATGAGGTGACAGTAGATCCTGGGGTCACAAAAGTGGGTCTGAATGAGTGTACCTTCAGGCTGAGTTCGGGAAGGTCCAGAGAAAAGCAAAGAATGTGCACAGCATCATCACCCTCCCTAAATAACAACTGGTACTGAGCAGCAAGGAATGAGATAGTGCCCTTATCCAGAACTCCTTGAGTATCTGAACAAGGAGATCGACAGAAGGAATGCAGCCCTGCTTTGTTCTCCCAAGGAAGACCTATGCCAAGAAGAGGGGATGTGCACAGGAGGCCTTACTCCAGACCCCAGAGCCTTGACCCTGGAACTGCCCTTCCAGCGATGCCCATCAGGTAAATGTGGGCATGGATGGATGGAAACACTTGGAGGTGGGCTGGGGATGCCAGTCATTACCTACACAGTTCTTCCTTTTAGGTCAGGAGATACAAAAGAAAGGTTCCCTTGCACCAAAGCAGTGGTGATACTAATCTTCAGCACATCTTCAGCCTTTAGAAAGGTTTTCACAACATTTTCTCCTGAGTTTTGCAAGTAATGCCCTAGGCAATGGCAACAGGCAATAAAGCCTGATCTATGCCCTGGAAGTGTCCAAGGGAGTGAGGAAAGATGGCCCCAAACCAGACAGTTCCAGTGGGGTGTGACAACTGCTGAGTGTTGGGATGCACTGGTTTTGGATGCAGCCCAGATGAGCAGTGTGTGGTGACATTGCTTCCTTATCCCTGCCACATTTATCACTGCTCAACACATGGATTTTCTCCTCAGACACTCTGAAGGAGTTGTCAGGATTCCCCTACAGAAATGAACTTTGCTGAGGATTTTTCAAAATGGAGAAGGCAGAGGATTTGAGAGGCCACTGGGACAGAATGCCCATGAGATGATGTCTTCTCTTTTCAGCCTCTGAGCACATGGTTACTGAGTGCTCCTACCTAGCTGTTACTGGTGCTGTTATGTGCTGTTGATGCAGAGTTGAATGAAATGTTACCCCAGCTCTCCAGGAGCTCCACCTGGAAAACAAGAAACTGCCAAAAGGCACGGGAAGTGCTGTGACAGACATATGACTTGAGTCCACGGTGGAGGGGGAGTGTTCACCTTGGTGTATGGACACTGATGCAGTTCTTTGAAGTCCTGTTCGACTATTTCTGCTTTTCCAAATATGTAGATTCAACACTATTTAAAGATTTATGTTTTTATTTGACAGAGTATTGGAGATGTAGCGATGGAGGGGAAGAGAGAGAGAGAGATGGAGTTCTTGGTTCCTGGCTTTGGTCTGGTCCAGATGTGGGTGGAAGGGGCCCAAGTACTTGAAGTATCATCCACTGCTCCCCAAGATATTTTGACAGGGATCTGGATCAAAAGCAGAGTGGCCATGACTGGAACAAGGACTCTGATATGGGATGTGGCCTTCCCAAGTTGTTGTTTAACCTGCTGGAAAATGGCATCTGCCCTCCCCCAAAACACTGTTAAATCATAGTAATATGTTAAGAGCATCATGCTTTCAGAATGAAAGAATTTCTTGTTCCACAGCTCCTGTGCCCATCCTTGGTATAGAAGGCCCATGTCACTGTCATACTTGAGATACATGGACCTGTGTGGAAAAGACACAGGACATTGTAGGATTTGAATTCTGGATCTGTCTTTGCTAGTCTGAGTGACCTAGAATAAGCCAGCTTACCTCTCCCTGAGTGTAGGTCTCACCATCAGTAAAAGCAGGCAACTGCACCTAACTTGCAGGGCTGTTGAAAAGCTAAGAAGCACTGCATCTTAAGGCCTGATACAGTGCCAGGGCTGAAAACAGTACAGCTTCAACTTTGCCTCTAGTCATTATTGTCCTTGTGACAAACCTGCCTTCTCCCAAGTATAGAAGTCACTGCAGAATATTCAACATTTTCTTTTTTATAAGATTTAGATTTACTTGAAAGTCACAGTTATGCAGAGAGAGGAGAGGGAGAGAAAGAGATCTTCCATCTGCTGGTTCACTCCTCAGATGGCCACCACGGCCAGAGCTGTGCTGATGCAAATCTGGGCGTTGGGAGCTTCTTCTGGGTCTCCCACGTGGGTGCAGGGACCTGAGCCCTTGGGTCATCTTCAACTGCTTTCCCAGGCCATAATAGAGAGCTGGAGAAGAAGTGGAGCAGACAGGACTCGAACTAGTGCCCATATGGGATGCCAGCACTGCATGCAGAGGCATTACCCACTATGTCACAGTGCTGGCACCATATTCAACTTTTTCTGAAGAAGGTATATTTGTTTTCAGAGGGTGAGGAGCATGATACCCTCAGGACATTGGTTCTCATGGAAAGGCCATGCTCTGTGCATCTGGGCTCAGCACAGGCCACTGCCCTGGGAAAAAGCCCTTGGAAAGCCAGCTAAGGGAGCAAGAAGAGCTCCAGTCAAGTAGAAAATCAGAAATCATCTCTGCTCTGCAAAGGGACATCTTAACATCAGATTTAGAGTGCCAGCGAGGTCATTAGAAACCTCAGGAACCAGGTGTGGTGCCTGTCAGTTACAAATGATTATTTGTTTAGTCTGGAAAGACCCCAGAAGTTGAGTTCTATTGCCTCCTTCATGAGATATTCTGTGATGAGAACAAGGGATGGCTGTGTGGTAGCCCCACACTTTTCTTTCTTTCTTTTTCTTTTTTTAGATTTATTCATTTGTTTGTTTGAAAGTCAGAACTTTAGAATTATTTTTCTAGTTCTGTGAGGAATGTCATTTACATCTTGATGGTATTCAATTGAGTCTGCAAATTGGTTTGAGTAGTATAAATAAGTTAAAAATACCAATTCTCCCAACTATGAACAGTAGTGGTTCTCCATTATTTGTTTCTTCTATAATTTCTTTGATTCAGATTTTCTAATTTTCCTTGTAGAGATCTTTTACATTCTTATTTCAATTTATCCCAAGGTAATTTGTTCTTTTTGAAGTCATTGCTCTTATTATTTTCATATCAAACTTCTACTTGTTGGTTGTTGCTTTCTTATCCTGCAGCTTCACTGAAGTAGTTTGCCTATTCTAACAGTCTTTGATGTAGATGTTAGGCTTTTCTACATAGAGACTCATGTCATCTACAAATGGAGATGTTTTAACTTCTCCTTTCCTATTTGTATGCCTTTTGTTTCTCTTGCACAATTGCTCTGACAGAAACTTCTTGTACTATGTTGGATAAGAGTGGTGACGGTAGACAACCTCATCTGGTTCCAAATCTTAGCTGAGATTTTTCCAACATTTCCATTCGCTATGACATTGACTGTGGGTTTGCCACTTACTACCTTTATTATGTTGAAGTATGTTCCTTCAAAATCAAATTAATTCAGGGCTTTTATTTTGAATGGATATTGAATGTGGCAAATGCTTTTTCATTATCTACTGAGATAATCATATAACTTTAATCTTTTGTTCCATTGAGGTAATATGTGATATGTATGATTTCTGTTTTGAACCATCCTCACATCCCTGGGATGAATCTCACTTGTTTGGCACAGTGATCTTTTTAAATACGGTGCTGTAGTCAGTTTTCTAGCAGTTTATTGAGAATTTTTGCATCTGTGTTCATGAGAGATGTTGGCCTATAGTTTTCATTTTTGTGGTGATGCTTTGTCATTGTCCAGTTTTGAAATAAAGGGAATTCTGACCTCATGGAGAACTTGTTAGGAAGGATTCCCTTGCTCTACATTGCTTTGAATCATTTCAGATAAATTGCTGTTAGTTCATCCTTAAAAGTTTGGTAGTACCTGTTAACCAGGTTAGTAACATCAGTTGTTACTAATACAGTTACAAACATCACAAAATGGATGGAAGAATCTACGTCATTGGAATTAGAAATCCAACACAGTTGTCATGGTACTGGAAACACCTCCACATTTATTTCAAACTTTTTTTTAGTTGTTTTGGAGATTAAATAAAAAGCACACATTTTGTTTTCATTATGTTATTGCTTTCTCTTGATTTTTCAAATTAAGTTTACAAAGGAATTTAAATAGATAGAAGGAAACTTTAAAGTAACCTCATTCATGTATAGAGGAAGAACATACAGATAATAAAAACTCAAAAGGCAGTTCCTCTAAGCCAAATATGCCCAAGGGAGAGAGAATGGGTTGTAGTGAAGCAGAAGGGGAACATAGTTAGGAGATGTATCACTAACCCAAATGAGCGCCTTGGAGTCATCAAAGATGGGATTCTGAGCAGCAGAGTTTTGTTCAGTCTTCGTACTTCCTTAGAAATGATTTACCATCTCTGGCAAGTTAACCTGAAACTTAGCTGATCCACGAGGTTGGAAGACATTAGAATCCAGAGCCTATTGAATGAGTCTAGTGTTATTCTGGACCTTAGGAGAGAAAAGTGGACGATAATATGCTATTGGTAGAATAAGGGAACGAACAGAATCAACAATGTTTCTAAAAAGAATAAATGACAATGAGAATTGAGTTTTAGGAAAGAAAAAAGGGTATAGTATCTTGGTACACTGGGGTTGTTCTCTGAAACACCTTCATCCCAAACCATATTCCCTTCCATATCATCCTCCCTGTATTCATTTCAAACTATGACCCCTAAACCTCCATAATCTCATTTTTAGTTCTAAGCTCTAATAAGATGTATGAATTGAAAGATATTTCATATTCTCATTCAGTGACAAAACCTTATAGAAGAGGCGAGAGACTATGCATTGTCTTTATTTACCTGCATTATGAGAATGTTCACATATTTCCTTGCCGACATTATGTGTTTGGCTAAATGTTCTGGCTCTGATGCAGTGAAGTACAAGTACTGCATGGCTTATGTGGTATTTACATCCTATTGCCTTGCTAAAGACCAAGAAGATCTGTCTTTGAAAATACATTTGACTTTCATAATTTCAGATACAACATTGTGGCCGTGAAGCTTTACACGTATGTATATGGTAAGTAGAGAGAGGTGCATTGCATGTAGAAGGTGAACATTTCACTTAGGATCTGTGCTCTAAGGTGTCTGTTTCCAATTCTTACATGTGACCAGCAGACATAGTGTGGTGCTGTGTCTTATTCTATTTGATATTTGAGTGTGGAGGGCATGAAATCTTGCTCAGACGTTCCCTTCTGTAGTTCAATGCTGATCTCCTACCTTGAGAAAACCTGGTCTCCAGACTGCGGGACTTCAGTTAATACAAAGATGAAGCCATAGACTGTTTTCATCTGCCAATGTCATGCCCTGTGGATGAATGTGTGTCACTTGAACCTCAGGGAAATTCCAGACTGGATGTGTACAATTTTAGCATGCCCCAGACCCCACACAGAAGTGGTGACATGAGTGTCTCAGATATGTTGGCCTATATAGTAGCCAAGACCCCAAGATTACAGTGGTGTTCTTAGCAGAAAGGAATGTCACACACCAGGCAAGAGCCTTAGAGAGAATCACGGATATTAAATAGCAGATCAAATTACATCAGTCAAAGACCCTAATCTCATACTTCTCTTGGACATCTCAAAGAATCTGAAATCCTCGATGCTAGGAGTTGTGTTGCATATAGGAAAGAAAGCTTGCAGATGCCTCCATATTTTGGTCCTAGTAGCCCATGAGGCACATATATGCCCTGGAAAATGATGCTGTAATAAGTGCTGCTCCCTTTATTCACTGGCCACTCTGCCAGAACCAGAGAATATGTTCATTTAAATATGGCCAGAGGAGTCATTTCCTGTCCCTCTTCTTTGGGACATTGTACTTTCATGATCATCTCAAGGATTGTGATGAAAGTGAAATGTTGTCATTTGTACAGTGCTTTGCCAAATGCTGGGTATAAATTCACCAAGAAGTTATCACTGTTACTTTGTTTTTATTAACACTACCCTAAATCCACCCCTGTACAATGTAAAGTAGGACATGTAATCTTGTGATGCTTTAGTTTATGATTTTTTAAGATTAAGAATTTGATGAATAATTATTTCTGCCATAGAATATGAAGATCAGAGACAGCTGAAAATGAATTTCTTCATACCTTTGATTCATCTCAGAAACTGATATCTTACACATTAGAGTGGGAAGATGCTGAGGGGTTCAGGACCAGCCTCATTAGTGGAATTCAGCTACCATTCAATAGGACTTAGCCAATAAGAAAATTTATCAGGCAATGTTACATAAAAACTGCAGATGGATCCTGTTCAATATGTAGATAAACTGAATGCAAATATGAAAAGAATACCATCAGATTTGCAAGTTTTCCCACATGGATGTTCACTGTGTATTGGGGGGAGGTTCACATCAACTATTTGTGTCAGTTGATATCTTGAAAAGGCTCTTGTGGGGCTCGAATGAAACCCGTAAGTGTCAAGTGTAAAGTGTCCATCAAGTGATGGTGAAACAGGGCAGGCCCACTTAGAGGAAGACACTGAGGATGTAAGGGCATCTAACTGGCTTTCAGTTGAATGAAATGCCCATGTGCTGCCCCTGTCAGGGCAAAGCCAGCACAACCCTTGAGTGCAACAGAAAGTCTACTGAGATGGGATACAAAACATTTAAAAGTGAACCCTTGGCTTAGTGTTTTGCTGTGCTTTTGTTCCTAACAGATTATTGGGTCTAAGAAGCTGAAGAGTCTGAGAAGAACATCATGGCAGTTTATAATTCAACATCTCTCAGTGGTGGAAAAGCCTTGTGGTCTCTTTTGACATAAAGAAAAGTTGGAGTGACTTTATGACAACCCTTAAAGTAAAAATTGTTAGGATATGAGTCCTGCCTTAATCTTTTAGAACAGAGGAATGAGAAATATGCTTAGACGCTTTTGGGAAAAGGTAGGACTATGGTTTCAGCCAGGGGTACACAACTGTGGAGGCTGTGTTGAGTGGGTGGTCCCCTTAAGACGTTAAGAGGTGGTCCCCTTAAGACTTTCAGAGGTGGTCCCCTTAAGACTTTAAAAGGACCAATCAGGCTTGTGCATCAGCCAGGTGGCCTAGGCAACTGGAAGGCAGTGGCTCCCAAGATTCCATGATACCCACCGTGTTTTGATTCTGTGACAGTAACTGCCAAGTTACCTGGAAGTGAAGCCCTACTTCTCTCACTCTGTCAGATGTTGAGCAATAAGCAGGAGCTTATGCTCTGAGCTCTGGCACCTGACTGAATCGAGAATAAAGGTGTTAAAGTGTTGTGGGGTGTTTCCTAACAGTAAGTTGGGAGGTACAGTTATCCTCATCTATCAGTCCTACTGAAAGAGGTTTCATTTTCTTTAACTCCTCTTTTTCTTGGGTGTCTTCTTCCTAGTCCCTGGATATACTCATTTTGCTACAAGCATCGATATGGCACTGACTCTCGGTCCCTCACTTGACGTGAGGGTAGAAACCAGTGAGCAATTAAGCTCTCAACTGGCAAAGAGCCAACGAGAATCAAAAGAACTGAAGGAGAAGCTTCGTAGAGCTGAGACTAAGGCCTACCTCCTGGCAAAGCACCTGCGGGACCACAGTAAGTTCGTTCTTTTTCCCTGTGTTTAATGTTTTATTTCTAAAAAAGAAATACAAATAAAATAGAGAAATTTGTTAATATAGATTGAATGGGAGGCACAGCATTATTCATGTTCCCATTCCACAATAAGTTCTATAGGTTCAGTGTCACCGAAATGATGAGTATTTGATGTCACCTCTTGGAGAAATGACCTGTTTGCTAACCTTGATCCTTCTCTTCTCTCTACCAAATAAGTTACATAGCTACCATGCTCTGAGAAGGATTAGCGTTAGTAGTTGCAGCATCAGTTGGTTGTGCAGGAATAACTGAAGCACAAGTTCAGCCAATTTTCCACGTTTTCACTGAGCTGTAGGGTGGGAATTCTGACACTGTCCCGCTCCAGCTGAGTCACTTTGCCAAGTCCCTTCAGGTGCATTTGAACTCTTCTTCGCTCATTTGCTGCCAATGTAGTATTTTCTCAAATGTTATTTTAAATCTTTATCCAATAAATTGGTGGGAATTATATACTACTATAGCTTTGGTGTTTCTATGACTACTTTAGAGTTACTTAACATAAGTGAAGATGAGCATCTTTTGATTTGATTATTGTATATAACTCCTGTCTATTCTCTGGCTGGATTATGGTCCACTTATTCTTTATTTCTTGAACTGTTTATTAAGTAGAGCCATTAAGCCTTTGGCAGTAGTATAAATGAAAAATACATTATCTGGGGCCAGCGCTGTGGCATAGCAGGTAAAGCCACCACCTGCAGGTGTTGGTTTGAATCTGGCTGCTCCACTTCTGATCCAGCTCTCTGCTATGGCCTGGGAAAGTAGTCTAAGATGGCCCAAGAGCTTGGACCCCTGCGCCTGTGTGGGAGACCTGGGGGAAGAACCTAGCTCCTGGCCTCAGGTTGGCACAGCTCCAGCCATTGTGGCCATTTGTGGAGTGAGCCAGTAGATGGAAGACTTAGCTCTCTCTCCCTGCCTCTGAATCTCTATAACTCTGCCTTTCAAATAAATGAGTAAATCTTTAAAAAAAAGTTAACTGAAAAAATAAGAAATAAAACATTAATATTTTTAAAAAAAGAAGGGATTAGAAAAAATTCCCTGAGGGGCCGGCACTGTAGTATAGTGGGTAAAGCCACCGCCTGCAGTGCCGGCATCCCCTATGGGTGCCGATTCAAGACCTGGCTGCTCCACTTCCAATCCAGCTCTCTGCTGTGGCCTGGGAAAGCAGTAGAAGACGGTCCAAGGCCTTGGGCCCCTGCACCCATGTGGGAGACCCGGAAGAGGCTCCTGGCTCCTGGCTTTGGATCGGCCAAAGATTGAAAGACCTCTCTCTCTGTCTATTTGCTTTTCCTTCTCTCTGTGTAACTCTGGCTTTCCAAAAAAATATATAAAGCTTTTTTTTTAAATCCCTGAACAAATATAAATAAAATGGAGATTATAAGTGTCCTGTCCCTGGGAGCTAAAGAAACAAAGAGGAGGAAATTCACACCAAGAGCTTGATGGTGTAGCTCCACTTCCTGACAGACAGTGACCTTAGCAGCCCGCTCACCTTTCCACTGAGGCAGGTGTATGTGTGTGCGTGTCTTTCCTCAGATTGTGAAGAGTATGAAGATCTAATTGAATCAATGCTGAGGGAGAAGCCGCACTTCCTGGAGGGGCAGCTGGCAGAGGAGCTGCTACCTGCGGAGAATCTCAAGTAAGGGGGCTCTCTCGGGTGGGCAGGTGGAAAGGTGAATGCATCTCTCAAGTGGGGCAGCTCAGCTGGGGAACCAAGAACTGATGTGGCCAGGAGAAGGGCAGGGATTTACATGGTGGGCTGACCCCTCAGATTTATAAAGCAGGCAGACAACAGAGAAATCACCAAATTGTAGGCTGCAGTGGATATTTAGAACCTCTTTTTGACTTGAAAAACGAGGCACTTATTGACTTGAAATTCACATACAAAATTGAAGAACGTGAACCACACAGAGAAGTTTTGTATCCACATAGTGCTGTAGGATCCCCTCCTCATTAACTGTGTCTCCATCACCTCCTGACCGTGGATGCTGTCTTAGATTCTCCCTGTCAGTCGTTATTTCTGCTGAAAGCCATTGTGCCTGGCATGTTTCTGTGTCTACCTTTGTGACCACTCGCTGCACACTGCATTTTAATAAGGAAAGGTCTGTGGCTGGAGTGAGGAACTTAAGGAACATGTTGGTGAGGGAGCTGAGGAAGAACCTTGGTGTTGTTTAGAGAACCAAAAAGTCAGCCCAGTGTCTAGTAATCTCGCAAGGTCTGTCTCTCTACTAAAGAGGAATCTCTTGCTCCATCTTTTCCTCTTCCCTACTGTGGGCATTTTCCCACACAGGCAGTGATGCTGCTTAGAGGGCCCTGTGAGCACATTCTCACCAAATCTCTGCAGAGACACAGAACACACCATGGGGCCGTTCCCACCTTGACATCTTCTCTCCTGTCACACCTTAGGAAATGTGGTGTTCAAATTCAAGAGCAGGCCCAAGAGCTGACCCAATTACAGCGGAAGTTACAGGAAGGGAGAGCTCTTTCTCAGCTCATTCATCAAAATCTCCAGGCCCTCCTCACCCAGCAGGACCCTGACAGCTGCCAGAGCCGGCAACTACTCACTGAGCTGCTCAAGCTGACAGAGCACCTTGTTGCCAAACTCAGCACAGGTAAGGTGGCCAAGGCTCTGAGACTTAAGATGGTCTCAAGTTGGCATCCGACTCCACACTTCTTCAAAGAACATTTACCAACAGTCTGTAGGTTTGTGTAAACAATTCTGTAAATAGTTCTCTAAACATTTGCGGCCATTTTTGGTCAGGGTACTTGTGTAGGAACAAAGAGTGGGAAATGCAGAGCTTTGAAGGTCCCAGGGCTGCAGAGATCTCCTCCTCCCTGATGCAATTGGCCTTGGAGCAGGAGGCCGCATCCTCTAGCTTTCTTTTTTCATGCTTGGATTTCCATTTTATTTCCATTGAAATACACTTACCTTTTTATAAAGATTGATTTTTTATTTTATAGGCAGAGTTACAGGGATGGGCGGGGGAGAGAGAAATTTACTGTTGAATTGATAGTATATACAGACTTTTCTAAACCCAGATCTGGGATTTTCTTTTTTTTTTTTCCCAGAGAAACCTTTTGTGGAACGGGAATAGGAGAGGGAGAAGGTGGGGTGGGAGCTTCAGTGAGGCTCCTGATGCTTCCTTCACCAGGGAGGCAGCCATGCACGGTGTCAGAGGTCTTTGCTCCCTAGCAGGGCAGGCAACCGTTTGCCAGAGCACATGTCCTGCCCATGTGTCTCTATCCCTGTGACTCAATCTCAAGCTCTATCACCGCCAGAGAAGGTGGGGTGGAGGGTGGGTATGGAGGGAAGAGTTACTGTATTCCCTCCAGTTTCAAAACACCGGAGAGAGGATGTGACTGGAGGCAGCTTGTGAGAGGGAACAAAAGCCACAGTGCAAGAGTGGAAAGTCTCGGCTGCTCCCCAGCGTGTTTTCACACACGTGTGACAGATCTTTTGTGGATTTCAATCTCCTTGTCTGTAGAGTGTCAAATAATCTCTTTCACAGTAGAAGTAACACTATGGCCATCTCCTGTGGGATATTCACACCCTGGTAACACTCCCTGACAGCCACAGCCCCCTGCATTTTGCAGCTACCTCTGGATTTCAGCCTAGCAAACCATGTGGCCTTTCTCTTCCCTGATGAAGTTGACTGAGCTCCCGAGTTCTCTAGAACACTATGCCATGCCCTCAGTGTTCCATCTTGGGCATTAGGTCTGACTGGAGCCACTAATGCCCTACACTCTCTGGGTGGCCCCAGAGATCCTGGTGGACCAGAGGCTCTGTAGAACTCATACTTCCACCCAGTAGCAGTACACAGAGTTCACTGTCCATTCAGTCTCCAAGACAATGAAGAGCAAATTCGCATTTGGCTGTTCTCAACCCAACAGCCAGGTAGCCTATTGCTGGAGCTGATGTTGTTGGGGGCCAGATGATCTTAGGGTTTCCAGAAAATGAGGCCACGGGAGATGTGGGTAACATCCTGTTTCAATGGAGAGAATGGGATCACCTGGCTCCAAGGGCATATGATCAGGCCGGGATGGTGGCCTGGAGACACACTGTAGCCTCTGAGGCTGTTGCCAAAGTCCCAGATGTCTCTCATGGAAAAGTAGAAGTCCTGGTGGTGGTAGCTGTGGCGTTGGACCATTTCCTGAAGGTGTCCTTCCTTATCTGACTTGATTTACAGTCAACCAGACATCTGGGAACCAGGAGGAGCCTTACGTGGACTCTCCCCATACCAGGTAGGTCTGCCAGCCCTGTGGACTTTGACTTTGCAGGGATCCCTGAAGTGTCACAGTAGATCCTGGGAGAGACAAAACAGGCTGAGGGAGCCATGGCACTCCCACAGGACCATGTCCTCCTGTCTCAGAAGACAATATTGCATCTTGTCGTGGAGTTGCCCAAAGGGGTTCGCATGGCCTCTTCCACTCACTGCCCAAGAGATAGTCTTAGGGTTGACTCAGACCAAGTGGCCTTTATGTGGAATTCTGGAAGTCACCACAGTTTCCCTGGCTCACAAGAGGAGAGGGCCACTCTCTGGACTACATTCAATTTCTGTCCATGCAAGGGCATTCCATCTGTGGGTGGCACAAAAAGTGATCCATTGAGATCCCAGAGCCAGCCATCAGAAGGCAGAGGGAGCAGTCTGAGGAGTGGGGGTGAGAGAGCCAGAGTGCTGGGGTACAAGAACTCCTCGGCAGGTGTATCTGTCATCATCGAGATATCTGGGGAGTTGATGCCTGACTGGGTCTCAGGGGTGACCCACAGCTTCAGTGAGGCTCCTGGTGCTTCCTTCACTGGGGAGGCAGCCATGCAGGGTGTCAGAGGTCTTTGCTCCCTAGCAGGGCAGGCAACTGTTTGCCAGAGGACATGTCCTGCCCATGTGTCTCTATCCCTGTGACTCAGTCTTCAGCTTGTCACCGCCAGTCCTTTCAGAGTCACCTTGTGACCAGGGAGTGGGACACCTGCTGGGGCCCGTTTTACCTCTAGCCACAGATGCACTGTTACTGCTTTGGAGGGCGGGCATGAGTTGGTGCTACTCACGTCCCATGTTTGTAAATGTGCCTTATCTCCACACTCCAGCAGGCCAAGTCTCAGGCTGGCCCAGCTGGAGCTTCTCAATGGCCTGCCTAAACCCAGAGTGGGACCCTGGTGGAGGTGGCTTACGATGAGATCTGTGCCAGTGTCTGGAACCTCCAGCAAGAAGAATGCTTCTTCAGGGAAGCCGGCCTTGGCAGTGAGTACTTCTGGGGCAAGGTGATGCTTCGAGCCCCAGGGTTCTCCCCAGTACACAGCCACAGGTCTGCCTTGCAGCCACCAGCCCTAGCTGAGTAACAAGAGCCTGTGTGCTGGAGCAGGGCCCATGGCTTCATGGTAGGAAACACCAGATTACACAGCATGAACACATGAGGAATTTGGGGATCTAAGCATAGTATAGCAACTAGAGTTGGAGTCATGTGGTTGCCCAGAAACACCCCATGAGATAATACCGCCTCATGCCCACAGCAGTGTATCCGACCAGCCAGAGGCTTGTCAGCACAATGAGTCTGGCTAAAAACGATGGATGAGACTAAGAGCCTTCAGCAGCAATCTCTTCACAAACTGCTGAAACTTTGTAACTGCTACCAGTTCTGGAAGAATACAGGAGAGTAGGAAAAGATAAAGAGGAGCACAGGGCCCAAATGAAATGAACCCAAAAAGCAGAGGGTATGAAAAACACCAATGGTCACTGAGGTCAAGACTGTGGTGAGGCAGTTAGAAATCGAGTTGAATTGATTGTCCATAACAAACCACGAGAAAAAGAAAACCCAAGACATCCCAGTGTGGAGCTGACACTTCCCAACAAAATAGCAGAGGTCAGATGAATTGACACCCAGTTAATAAAAAATATGCTGAAAAAAAAAAGCAACAGATATCACTACTCACAACTTTTAGTACCTTTGAGTGATACTGCAGAGATATCTCTATGCAGATATGAAGCCGTAACACTTCTCCCAATGACCACAGCATTCAGGGAAGCCTTGCCATTCGAAACACCTAGGGGTCCTGTGTGTTTCACCAACCCAGCGACTGACAGGGTAGGCAGGGAGAGTCAAGTATCCCACCTACCCTAACATTAGAATTGTGCTTGTCAGGGCTGAATGTTGCTTGTTGGCAGCACGGGGCAAAGATGGGCGCAAAAAAGACACTAAGCTGGGGTATACAGCGCAATAGAGATCCTGAAATGTAGTGGGTGATGGGCGGTCCGAAGACTACCCTGGCAGGCAAGCAAAGCCACTATCTGGACTAGGCGCCAGTCTAAACGCCAGCTTCTGAGCCACCAAGACAACCACCCTGAGGTATGTACACATCTTGGCCTGTGCGTGGGTAAGCCTAGTCCTCAGTGGGGCCTTCCCTGTCTCATTCGATTTGCAGTCGGCCCAACGGCTCTGGATCGGGAGCGGCCTTCCCTAGGTCCTGCCCTGCCCAGGTAGGTCTCCCGACCCCGTGAAGGCCCCGCCCCGGGGCTGGGATCCCGGCAGACTTCCCCGCTATCCCGGGAGGCCCAGGGCTGGGCCGCGTGGTGCCCGCACACCCACTGCCACCCTCGGCCCCGTGTGTCTATGGGCCCGGTGGCAGCACGGCCTCCAAGCGTGCGAGTGACACGGAGGTGGCTGTGGCCTGCCCCCACCCCTGGGGAGGCCGTCCCGGGATCCCTGCGCACCCAGTGGCCCCGTAGGACGTCCTGCGGTCCGGGTGGCTGTCCCGCTTTCCACACGGAGGCTGACCGGAGTCTGGCCCGCAGTCACGACCCAACCACATCACTCAGCCTTCGCTGGGCGGCACGGGGACGGACGGGTCCTCGGGGAATCCTGGGCCACTCCACAGAGGCTGCGGAGGCAGACTGTGGTGGGGGAGGGGTTCTGACGGTGGCCAGAGGGCTGTGCCACCTCGACAAGCCAGGTGCATTGGTGGTGCCAGGTGCGGCCTGGGCAGTCGATGCGTGCCGCAGAGCTCCTGTGAGGGTCCTGGAGTGCTTTGGGCGGGGTCAGAGCTCTGGGGTCCGAGTCCATTGTCTGCCCGGCCCCGGCCCGGCCGTGCCTGCGGCTCAGTCCGCGGCTCTCTCCAGCAACCCCTGCAGAGCTGAGAGCTGGCCCCTGGCGGGGGACGAGGACCGCCTCTGGGGCCCACGTGCCCATAGCCACGCAGGCACTGGCTTCCCTGGGCCGGCAGGCAGGGCCCGGGGCTCGACCACCTGCCGCGTTGGTGACCCTGCTGTGGTTTTCCTTCCCACCCCAGCGGGCCCGAACTCGAGCTGCCCCGGCTGGGGCAGTTCCCTGTCCCATGTGCAGCCATCGCGGGACCCCGTTGGCCGTGTCCTGCGGCCGGGCACGTGGCCGTGGCTTACTTCCAGGTCTGTGACAGTGCCTGGGGCCTCCGGCGGGAGGAATGCCACATCTTCCAGACCATAGACATGTTCGGTGAGTCCTCCCGGGGCAAGGTGTCCCCGCTGAGCCACTGGGGCTCATCCCTGGACAGCGCCAGTGTTCCTTCGCGGAGCCAGCCGCGAGGCTGAGTCCCGGGGCACAGGGCCACCTGAAGCGGGGGGGCGGGTGGAGGGGAGGGGCCGGCACACAGGGCCCGGGTCTTGTGAGACCCCATGGGTGGTGGGTGTGAAGCATATCCACGTTCACTGCGGTGTCCGGGTCGGGCCTGCCTCTGGGGTGTGGGTCACACTGTTTGGCCCCGCCTGACACGCAGCCTGCCAGGTCCCGCAGGGCACGTGGTTGCGGCCCCAGAGGCTATTCCAGGGCAGGGCCAGCGCCAGCGCCCGCAAGCCTGCGCGCTTCAGGCTGGCTAGGAAGAGGGGGCCACGCCAGCAGCCTTCAGCCTGCTTCCTTGCCAACCCGCAGACAGCCCCTGAAAGCCGCAGCTCCCAGCTGTGGCAAGCAGACAAGTGGTCCCTGGCTTTCGCATCAGCTGGCGGAGCGCCGCGCGCCAGAGCGCTCTGGAACGCTCTGCGTGCCCTGGGTGTTCCGTGTGCCGGGGGGAGGCCTGAGTCGCCGGCCTGGACGCCTCTCCCAGCGACCACAGCATTCTGTCTGGGAAGCCCGGCAGTTGAGAGACCCAGGGGTCCTGTGGGTGTTGGAGGGGTGGGGCCGGCACACAGGGCCCAAGTCTTGTGAGATCCCATGGGTGGTGGGTGTGAAGCATATCCATGTTCACTGTGGTTTCTGGCTTGGGACGGTCCCCTGAGTTGGGACACAGTGTTTGGCCCTGAGACACAGCCTGCCAGGCAGGATATTCTAGGGCAATTGCCTGTAAGCCTGCAAGCTTCAGGCAGGCTAGGAAGCGGGGTCCACACCAGCAGCCTTCCACCTGCTTGCTACACAACCTACAGACACCCCCTGAAATCCACAGCTCCCAGCTGTCGCATGTTCCTGAGGCTTTGGCCATTATGGTGAGTACTCCCATGGAAAGGTACTCCTTTGAGCCTCACAGTGTCTCTCTAGTTCATAGCCATGTGTCCACCCTGCTGCCACTTGTCCTGAATCTGTATGGGAGAATGTGATGGGCTGAAGCAAGGCACCGTGCTCAATGGTGTGAGTCCCCAGCTTGTAGCATCTGGAGTATCTCTCTGGTCAGTTCGGGTCTGCTGGTTGGTTCAGCCCCTGGACTTTGAGTTTTACCTGTATCCCCTGAGATCTCCACCATGAGTTCATTTCATGTCATGTCATCCTAAGCACCTCCTCCATTGAGAGTTGTGGAGTTGTGAGGCCCAAGGCCTCTCCTGTGTGACATTCATGCGTTGGTGTCTCTCACTTGGTTGATTCCTTGATTCTTAGGTCTTGCCTGGCTCCACTTGACTGTGCTCTCAGGTCATGGTACCCAAGGCAGGTGGAGCAACATCACACTGGCCTCTGGGCCTCCCACCGGTGAGGCACCAGTGAGGTACCTGTCTGGACTGTGGTGTAGGAGCAAAGGACATATGTGCCAATTGCTGTCTCCCTTGAGATTCATGCCCTGGTTGGCACTCCCTTCTGGCCATGGTCCCAGGTGTCCTCATCCACCTCTGGCTCCTAGAAATCCCTGAAGTAAACCACGTGGATGAGTAAGTTCATGAGTCCTCTAGAAAGCTTACCCAATCGTCAAGTGTTCCACCACCCACCACCAGGCTCTGTGTTTAAACCCTCGGCCTGAGAGGGCCTGCTGATGTATAAGGTTTCTGGGTGGCTCCAGAAGTCCCAGTGGACCAGAGGCTCTATAGACTTGATGGCTCTGTTCAGTGGCAGTACACACACACAAAATGGTGTGTCACCGGCACCTGAACACCGGGTGGGAGAGGATTGGATTTCAGCCTTTCCTCCCGGAGGTCATTTAACTACTGGTGGTTGTGACATGGGCGAGTGGGGGGTTCTTAAGGTAGTCTAAGGGTTTGCACACACCCGGGACAGAGTAAGTGTACGTGATATCCTGCCAAAACACAGAGAAACCAAGAGAGTGGGATCCCCTGGCTCCCAGGAAGGTAGACTAGCTGGTGTCTTTATGGTTTACCCTTTTGTGGTCCTTATTGTGGTAAAACAGGTTAAGCCACCACCTGCAACACTGGCATCCCATTGGGTATCAGTTTGTGTCCCAGCTGCTTCAACTTCAACTAATGGCCTCTCTCTCTCTCTCTCTCTAACTCTGCATTTCAAATAATAAATAAATAAATAAATCTTTAAAAAACAAAAAAACTGGCTGGCGCCACGGCTCAATAGGCTAATCCTCTGCTGTGGCGCCAGCACACCAGGTTCTAGTCCCAGTCAGAGCGCCAGATTCTGTCCCGGTTGCTCCTCTTCCTGTCCAGCTCTCTTGCTGTGGCCCGGGAGTGCAGTGGAGGATGGCCCAAGTGCTTGGGCCCTGCATCTGCGTGGGAGACCAGGAGAAGCACCTGGCTCCTGGTTTCGGATCAGCGCGGTGCACTGGCCGCAGCACGCCGGCCGCAACGGCCATTGAGGGGTGAACCAACGGAAAAGGAAGACCTTTCTCTCTGTCTCTCTCACTGTCCACTCTGCCTGTCAAAAAACAAACAAACAAAAAACTTACCTTTTTTTTGCCTCCCTTGATACTCCTGAGTCAGACACTCACTCTCCCAATGCATGTAAATTTACCTGTAGCATTCCAGTCAGATACTGTGTGACACAGTTACTTGTACTGGGATCTTAATGTGCCTTTTACTGTCTGATTTTTATTTGTAGTGTACCAGATGTACGAAGAGAAGGTAGCAGGTTATCTTGGTCCTAACAAACCCAAGTAAGTCTCCAACTTCTGTTACTGCTTACTTTGTTTCAACACTTGGGGAATCTAACTCCAGGGAGAAAACAGCATGTGTTGGGGTGACTCACCGTTACCCCTTAAGCCCATAGCCGAATGTTTGTAGGAACAAAGTTATTCCTTATCATGTGAGCGACCTGCAAGTTTCCATTGTTTTCCCCACTCTCTCCCTTGGATTAACTACAGAGCCTGCGCAGGTCAACCAGCCTACTCAGGGAGTTTGGTCAGTCCTGGCCACTACCCTGCCATACTCAAGGCAGGGTGATCCCTTTCTGCCCTCAGCTTGTTGCCCATGTGTATTTTTGCCTTCCACTGATAACACAAAATGAGATGGGACCTGACCTCATCAGATGGTGGGCAACAGGCTGGGGTGAGAAACCTGGGGTGCTAAAGCACCTCCTCAGCAGGTGCATCTTTGTGACTGAAGCCTGCACACTTCATGCCTTCATTGTTTTCTCACATGACCAGTAGTAGGTTCTGTTTGGCTCATTAGTATCAGTGGAGAGGGTGCCAATGGTGGGTGGCACAGCCTTTTTCCTGAGTAGCTCACTGCCCCTGTCCCTCAGTCTCGGGCTCTGTCTGCACTCCCACTGTGAGGCTTCAGCTTGATCAAGCAGTGAGCCACTGGTGGATGGGCTCCCTTTCCTTTGGTGACAGAACCTTTGCCCTGCTGTTTAAGCCAGGAAGGTCGTGGGAAGATTGCTCCTTTTGTTAATTTCTTATTCCCTTCTGCACCTCCAGGGTCTGTCTGAAGCTGCCCAAACCAGAACAGCCTGAGTTCCTGCTCAGCCCAGTGGCATGTCCATATCCATCTTTAACCATGCCATCACTTGTGGATTGCACCTGCCGCACTGCTGGCAGTGACTGGGGTCGTGTGCAGGTGCCACACTTCTGCCTGTTTGTTTCTGCTAGTGAGTATTCCCAAGGAAATTTGGCCAAGTTCATAATGATCTCCCTGTGTGAAAACAGGACATGTACCCTACACAGTTCTCCCCTTGCCATTCAGTGTAGTTTTGCACACCGAGCCTAAGGCACATTGTGTTCAGGGAGTTGTATGATAGAGTTAAGGCACCGTCATCATTTAGTCTGCAGCCATTACTTCCTGTTTGTCCAAATTCATGTACACATCACCCAGTATTTACTCTCATGTCTGTACTTAAATCCCTCCTCTCCTTTCAGGTGGCACATTGAAGGCTTGTCCTCAGAAACACTTGAATGGAATACTAGGTTGTCACCTGTCGAAGGTGCCAGTCTCACATGCAGAGTTGTGGGTGAGACTACAGGGATACACCTGTCCTCAAGTCCCAGTGGATCCGCAATTAGCCTCTGGTAGCAATGAGGCCAGGCGTAGTGATTCCTCCAGCACCTGCAGCTTTGCAGAAAACATCGATTCAAGAAACCAGTTGTTGCTCCACAAAGGTAAGAAAGAAAAGGCCACAGGAAGCTTCCATTGATACATGGATTTTCACTGTGTATGGGTGAAGGAGACAATTCAGACCCCGTCGTGTTCTCTGAGGGTCAAGTTGAAGTCTGCAGTGCTGTAACATGGTAAAGTGAGCCAATGCCTGATTTTAAGCATCCGCTCTGCCTCCAGTCATCAGCTTCCCAAATATTTTATGTTGAACTTGGCCAAGTTACTTATCACAGGCATTTATATCTCATCCCCCATTTCAGGCTGTGCTGTTATTAAGCAACATAATTTCCAGAGTGACTGGCTAAGAATAGCTCAGTATCCTCTTTAGGTGTTTAGTGACTCGTCGTTTAATTTGCATATAGTTGAAGACTTAACAAAGTGATCTTGTACTTTTGTTCCACGTGCAAATCAACCATGTTTGTAGTGTAACTTCCCAGAGACTGTCTTTGATAAGACAAGTGACTGACTTACTTTCCCTCCCTCCATCCCTCCCTCCCTCCCTTCCCTTTTCTATTTATTTTTCCTTTCTCCCTCTGTTGCTCTTTTTTCTCCCTTCTATCTTCCTTCCCTCCCTCCCTTCTTTCCTTTCTCTCTCTCTCTTTTCTCACTCTCACTCTCTCTCTTTCCTTCTTTCTCTTTCTCCTTTCATTCTTGCTTCCTCAACATTCCCTTCTAAGCCAATTTTCCTCTGTCAGACACTTTCAGCCACAAGGTGAGAGCCATATTCTTGTCAGTGTACATTCTAGGCCTTACCTTGGTTTCCTGATTAATTCAACTTATTTTCTGGCCCCCTCTCTTTTTTAAATGAACAGGAGCCTTCATACATGAAGTGATCAGGCTCATTTCTGACTCTTCCTGGAATTTATCAGCTCCGCTCATCTCCATAGCATGTCCCAGTTTCTTGCCCACAGTGATCCACTTCTGCTCAGATTTCCTTACAACTGAGCCTTGGACCCTCCTGCCCATCCTACCTGGATCCTGTCCATCCTTTTCCCTGCCTCTATGGTTGCCTGTGGCTTATGTCTGCTGCAGCCTACCTTCTAGAAAGGAGGGGACTGGTGTGCTCAGGAGGAGGAATATGTCTCATGTGACAGTGACCACTAGTTGACTCTTTGGGAGAGAGCTCCTGGCCAGTGCTCAGTAAGAGGACAGGCATACATACTCTCTGCCACATGTGCCATGATACCTTGTCCCTCCCAACTCCTCTTTTCTTCTCCTGATCTTTTACTTCTCCTTGGATTCTCACAGTACCAGCACAGCTCACCCACTGGCTCAGTCACTCTCTTCCTGTTCACACTCAAGGTCACTCCATTCCTGTTCACATTCAAGGGATAATTGGCTGAGCAATGGTAGGTTCAAGGCAAGACTTTGCAGTCTAGGGTCCTTTGAAAGCACTTTGCAGATTTTGACACCAACCATACTGTGCTTTCTATCTGGTGCACAGCAGGTTGTATTACTGACAACATATATTTCTCTCACTCTTCCTAAATCTTTTTTTTTTTATTTCCAACCTATTGTGAAAGCTGTCAGAATGCAGGAGCCCAAATTTCCAAAACCCCAGTTAAGGTCATTTTTTGATATAGTATGTACACACACACATGACACTGAGAGTGCTTCAGGATGTTCATGGAATGCCATGGGTATTGTGGCATAGTGGATAACTGCCCCTTTGGGCTGTCCATATTCTTTGTCAGTGTACCTAGGTACAAATTTGTCTTCTGTCTCTGATCCAGCTCCTTGCTACTGTGTAGCCTGGGAGGCAGCATGTGATGACTCGGTTGGGTGCCTGCCCTTGATGTGGGAGGCTAAGATAATGTTCCTGGCTCCTAGGTTTGGCCTAGCCCATTCTTAGCTGTTGCAGATATTTGGGGAGTGGAAAAGTACATGGTTGATTCCTCCCTCTCACTCTGACATTCTGTGTAACTGTCACTCTTGGATTTTCATTGAAATGAAAATAAATGGGGCCGGTCTCGTGGCGTAGTTGGTGAATCCTCCACCTGCAGTGCCAGCATCCCATATGGATGCTGGTTCTAGTCCCATCTGCCCCTTTTCCAATCCAGCTCTCTGCTATGGCTTGGTAAAGCAAGATGGTCCAAGTGCTTGGGGCCCTGCACCCACATGATAAACTGGGAGCAACCATCTGGCTCCTGGCTTTAGACAGGCAAATCTCCAACCATTGCAGCCATCTGAGGAGTGAACCAATGGAAGGAAGACCTTTCTCTGTCTCTCCCTCTCACTGTCTGTAAGTCTCCCGCTCAAATAAAAATAAATAAATAAATCTTTTTTAAAAAGAAAAAGAAAATAAATGTTTAAAAAGATGGTCATGGAAAATGGAATTAAACATGAGTTCTGTATGTCACAGAAACTTTTTGAAATCCTTGCACTGTGTGGTCATAATATGCATTTCCATAAACTTTCTAAAGAACACTCCAAAATATATTTGTCCTTGTATGTTCCTGAATTCCATGATATATATCATATTATTTTCAGTAATGTTACATGTAATATGCTCATATGAAGTGTATAATGATACATGTTTTTCATCTTCTCCAATTTTCCTTATAATTTTGCTCTTATGGGTTTTCCTATGATTTTTATATAACTCAATTTTTAGGTGACATCTCCATTCCTAGTAGCACAACCTCTGTCTAGTATGATTAGCCCTTGCTTTTGTCCTATGAATCTGAGAACTATTTGTTTTCATTTGCTCCAATTTTCTTAATTTTTTTTTGTCAAACAGCAGTAGGTTTGCCTATTGGCAATCTTATCCTGAAATCATTTCTAAGGAAGGCCAATGATAAGAAAATGCAAAAGCATCTCTATTGGCTTCCCTTGCCCCTTGGACTTTCTTGTCCAAGGTCACTTTGCTTATCCAGTGTCCACCTTGGTGGAAGTGTGTGTCAGAATAAGGTCATATTGGCTGGTGCTGCGGCTCACTAGACTAATCCTCCACCTGCGATGCCAGCACCCCAGATTTTAGTTCCGGATTGGGCACTTGATTCTGTCCCGTTTGCTCCTCTTCCAGTCCAGCTCTCTGCTGTGGCCCAGGAAGGCAGTGGAGAATGGCCCAAGTGCTTGGGCCCTGCACCCGCTTGGGAGACCAGAAGGAAGCACCTGGCTCCTGGCTTCAGATCGGCACAGTGCACTAGGGGGTGAACCAATGGAAGGAAGACCTTTCTCTCTTCTCTCTCTCTCTCTCTCTCTACTGCCTAACTCTTCCTGTCAAAAAGAAAACAAAAGAATAAGGTCATATAACAGTGGATATTGTTGCCTGTGGTTTCATTTGCAGTGCCTGTTACTGATGGCTATCTTGCGAGCAATCCCAAGCAGGATAATACCATTGAGGGGTCAGCTACCAGCAGCCATGCAAGCCAAGTCACTGCCCACCCTGTGGGCTCCGATGTCCTAAGAAAAGAGATGATCCAAAGAAAATGCCATTTTAGCAAATGGAGATTATCATACCGTATCCCTGGATTTCCACTTGAGGTGCAGAGGTAATCACGACTGTTATTCTTAGATGCATTTATTCTGTATTGCTCTCTCTATATATGAGTGCTTTACCTCATTTCCCTCCCCCCAATTTTTTCTTTCCCTGATTTGTTCTCTCCATCATCTGCAGTAACTTCTGTCTAGTCTTCCTTCTATTTTCCATTTGTAATGGCAGGGGAATGTGCCCTGGTTCTTGATTTCTTTCAATATAGAAATAGGGAAAGAGTCCAAGATGCAAAGTCGTAGTATTTTATTAGGCCAGTGAGAGAACAAAGGGAGGTGGGAGAAAGCTGCAGAGCTAGATGTCCAGTAGGGGAGTGTAATCGTGGGTCTCTAATAGGTACCCTAACTTCAGTTTCATCTGTGTCACTGGTGTGGCCACCAGGACATGGGTGTGGGAGTCACTGGGCTGTGATCTACCTGGGAAGGGGCTGTGGTAGGAGGGGTCCAGCCATTCTGTGCATTTTTTGAGCACTGAAGGCACATGACTTGGTAGAGTCCTGGTGAGCATGCAAAATGGGAAGCATCATAAGTGGGGGAGAAGGGAAATTCACCAGCTTCCAGAGCATGCCTGTCCCTGCCTAAATCCTCCTATCATTACACATGAATTGCCAACCAGTCACTGTCATCTGCATCTCCTTGGCTGTACTCTAAGCTCTGCTCTTTCCCCATAGCTGCTGTCCTCATTATCCCACTCACAGACCTAGAGTCAAATTTGCCTTCAGATCCAGTGTTCAAGGGATTACCATGACCCAGTAGCCACACTTCAGGGACACACTCAAGCTACAATGAGGCAGACTTCATTAGATGGTACAATAAAGAGACATTGGTCAAAAGGTAAACTTAAGGGAGGGTGTTATGGCACATGCAGTCAAGCCACAGCTTGGGATGCCTGCATCCGTATTGGTGTGCTGCCTCAAACCCTGGCTACTGTACTTGCAATCTAGCTTCATAGTAATGGTTCTGGGAAATACATGGATGATGACCCACATATTTGGGTCCCTGCCACCTAGTTCTGCACTCCTAACTAGTGAATCAGTATATTTAAGTTCTTTCTCCCTCTGTTTCTATTCTTTCACTCTTTGTCTTTCCTTCTCTCTGTCACTTTGTCTTTCAAATAAACAAATGAATGTTTTAAAAAAGACAACCCTCTAATATTCACACAAAATATTATTTTCTAAATTAGACATAAGCACAGGGCTTCAAAAAATGTGTAGAGCAAGACAAGCTTAGACATTCTGACTTCTCCTACTAGTTTTGGGTCTGGTTTGCCGCAGTTTTTCTGGATCCTTGAGATGCATTGATAGCTCATTTGTTTGGTGCCTTTCTAATTTCTTGATGTAGGCACCTATTGCTATAGACTTTCCTCTTAACACTTTTTTGCTGTATCCCATAAGTTTTGATATGTTGTGTTGTTACCTTCATTTGCTTCCAAAAAGTTTTTGATTTCTCTTTTGATTTCTTCTATGACCCACTGTTCATTCAGGAGCATGTTGTTCAGTCTCCAGGTATTTGCATATGCTCTAGGAATTCCCGAGTTGCTAATTTCCAGCTTCATTCCATTGTGATCTGAGAAGATGCATTGTATGACTTGGATTCTTTTGAATTTGCTGAGACTTGTTTTATGGCCTCGTATGTGCTCAATCCTAGAGTTTCCATGCACTGCTGAGAAGAATGTACATTCTGCAAGTATAGGATTAAAGGTTCTGTAGATATCTGTTAAATCCATTTGGTCTGTAGTGTCGATTCAATCTGCTGTTTCCTTGTTGATTTTTCTGTCTGGTTGATCTGTCCATTACTGAAAGTGGAGTATTGAAGTCCCCCAATACTATTGTATTGGAGTCTAAGTCTCCCTTTAAGTTCCTTAACATATCTTTTAAATAACCCAGTGCCCTGTAATTAGGTGCATATAAGTTTATAATAGTTACATCTCCCTGTGGAATTGATGCCTTAATCATTATGTAGTGCCCCTCTTTGTCTCTCTTAACAGTTTTTGTGTTACAGTTTATTTTGTCTGATATTAAGATGGCTACACCAGCCCTTTTTTGGTTTCTGTTGGCGTGGAATATCTTTTTCCAACCTTTCACTTTCAGTCTGCATGCACTTTTGTTGGAAAGATGTGTTTCTTGTAAGCAGCAAATAGATGGGTTTCTTTTTTAATCCATTCAGCCAGTCTGTGTCTTTTAACTGGGGAGTTGAGGCCATTAACGTTCAGTGTGACTATTGATAAGTAGTGACTTTGCCCTGCCATTTTCCCAAAGATATTTCTAATATATACTTTGACTTTCTGTGATCTTTTACTGAGAAATTTTCTTCCTTTACCTTCTTTCGTATTGATGACCGTGTTTTCTGTGTGTAACACATCTTTAAGCATCTTTTGCAGGGCTGGACAAGTGGTGACACATTCTTTCAATTTCTGTTTGCTGTGAAAGTTTTTTATTTCACCTTCATTCACAAATGAGAGCTTTGCAGGATATAATATCTAGGTTGGCAGATTCTCTCAGTACTTGGGTTTTTAATTTGTTCTATTGAATTCTTCATTTCATTTCAATTTCTTTTCAATATCTCAATTTCATGTTCTATTAAATTCCTCATTTCATTTTGATTCTTCAAGATTTCATTTTACAAGAGAAATTTTCTGTCTTGTCCTTCATGGATTTCAGCAGTTCATGCATTTGTTTTAGATTACATCTCAATAGTCTTATCATAAATTTTTTGTTCCATTTCTTGCATTTCTTCCATCTCATCATCTTCTTAATCTTGTATTGGAGTGTCATTTTCTTTCGGGAGCATCATGTTTTCTTCCTTTTTCTTGTTTCCTCGATTTTTCCGTTGTTGTTTGGCATTGTGGAAATATGCTTTGGTTTCTTCTTTTTTTTTTTCACTATGGTGGCTTTTCTTGTTATACTATGACTCTAGATTAAGTGGACTGTCTGTGGTTGGTGTGGCCAGAGAGCTCTGTTCAGTTCTTCAGGGTTAAGGGTGTGCTTAAGGTGACACACCCAGGTTTGGCGTGGTAAATCAATCTCCCTTTCCCCTACCTCTTTCTTTGTCTCTCTCTCTCTCTTTCTCTCTCTCTCTTTTTAATCAGAAGGGAAGTAATCAGCTGAACACTTCTCCTCGATGGCAATCAGTGCCTGAGCGCTATCCCCAGTGTATACAATATTCATCTGCTCTGTCCCAAGAACCACACAAAAGATCTGTGCAGTCCTCAGTGTAAGCTTAGAATCCCCTGCAATGTCTCTCACTGGGTAGCCAGGGCCTCCCGAGCTTGTGGCATCTCCCAACAAGACTACTCACATCTCAGCCAAACCATGAGTTCTCCCACACACCCCACACACCCTCCGTTGTGTTTTTTTTTTTTTTTTCACAGTCCTGGTTCATAAGTTCCACACATTCACTAGGTCTTAGTCTCTTGTTATTACTCCCCACCAGAGTCAGGTTTTTCCGCTTGGGTGGGCACAGCCCCAAGCTGGTGCAACTGTTATGTATGTCCAAAATGGCGCCTGCTGTATTGTCTCACTCGCTTTTGTAAGGTGTGTGGAGAGTGAATCGTGTCCATACCATCCCTTTTATTTTTTCTCTCTTCTAGTTAGGCTTGTGTACTTTCCCTCATGGGGCTACAAGCCTTGTTCCCTCTAGGTTCTTCCTGCTGCTTTTCCACCAGTGTCACGGGCTACTATGGTTTTGTCTCACCTCTCTTTCCAGCGCTAGTGCAGAGACAGCAGCTGGGGTCCCGAACCGTGGGAGTCCGTGCCCTCCACGTAGATCCACGGTGTCCCTCTAATTCCAGAAGACTTTCCTCTACTGTTTTTTCCCTATCTGTTCCCTAAGACTACACTGTCTCCACTTTTAATAAACTGTATTTTCCTGGACTTTCAGTGAGCTCCTTCCCTATTCCATCATCTTGGAACTTCCACCAACTTCTGTCTTTTTTATCTCTCAATGCCAATTTCAAATATTCAGGTAAAAATCTCGAAAATGAGTTATTTGACATTTTGTGATCTGATGGTTGTTTATAGCCCTTGTCTCTATTGTTAAGGAACATTGTTTTTTTTTTTTTCTTCTTACTGTTTGTTGAACTCTTACTTAGTGTAGGATTAATTTTATGAGTATAAAGTAAACTGAAAGTAGATAATTGTAAATCTTGAGAGAGTGAATAAGAGAGGAAGGAGGAGGAAGTATAGGAGTGTGGACAGGGGGAAGGGTAGGATGGGAAGTCTCACCATGTTCCTAAATCTGTATATATGAAACGTATACACTTGAATAAATTAAAATAAAAAGAGAATGAGTTAGTTATTGAACATGAGACCACAAAATAGAGCAGCTCATTGTAGTGAGTTAACTCGGGGCAAACCCATGAAGATCCAAGAAGATAAGCAAGGCCCAGGCCAATCTTTGCTCCAGTGATTCTAATTGAGAACGAGCCTCCTTGCCTTGGGCAAGTAAAGTGAGAAGGAGAGTGACCTCCCTCAGTCTGTCAGAGGGAAGATGAAAAACTTGAAGGCCAGGGGGGATGAAGTTCATGTTTAATAGATGGAAGGAAAGGAAAGGAATGGGATAAAGTAGGTGAGGACTGTTGAGCAGTTCTAAATGACGCTGTGCTTTTAGTAAACTCTGGGTACACTTTGAACTAGCTTGGATGCTTTGACCCAGTACCCTGGATTCTGTCTTCAATGGACAGGGAAAGGCCAACGTTCAATTTCCTGTCCTCTTGGTTAACTCCCTTGGAGTTTGACTTTATTCCTTTTTCTCCTGGACAAAACACTTGCCAGATTTCTCTCTAAGGCCTTATTCCTATTTCTATGTACTCAAGGTGACTCAACAGCCTCTTAAGACTATTGAAGCCTCCAGATTGAATTTTCTCCTCTCCATTCTTCAGATTTCTTTTTTTTTTTTTTTTGACAGGCAGAGTGGACAGTGAGAGAGAGAGACAGAGAGAAAGGTCTTCCTTTGCCGTTGGTTCACCCTCCAATGGCCGCCGCGGCTGGCGCGCTGCGGCCGGCACACCGCGCTGATCCGATGGCAGGAGTCAGGAGCCAGGTGCTTTTCCTGGTCTCCCATGGGGTGCAGGGCCCAAGCACCTGGGCCATCCTCCACTGCACTCCCTGGCCACAGCAGAGAGCTGGCCTGGAAGAGGGGCAACCTGGACAGAATCCGGCGCCCCGACCGGGACTAGAACCCGGTGTGCCGGTGCCGCTAGGCGGAGGATTAGCCTAGTGAGCCGCGGCGCCGGCCCATTCTTCAGATTTCTAAAAAAGAGCTGGAGACAAGGATTAAGAACAATTCTTATGTCTTTAGTTACATCTCTTTTGTTAAAGGACAGACTGGACTTGGATGTTTCTGAGATTACCGTTGGCTCACACATCTACTCTATTCCCATAGTCACCTATTCTTCCCTCTGAAACACAGAATTATAATAGTTGAATTTACTGAAGGAGGTCCCTTCGCTTTCAACTGTCTTTCTGAATGTGCATGATTGGTGCTAGGAACATCTATCCTTAAGAGATGGGAAAAAGCATTGGCAAGACCATGGAGAAGGATTAGGAGGAAAATGGGTGTTATCACCAGCTTCTAGTTAGAAGAGTGCAGGACCAGGCCGGCGCCGTGGCTCACTTGGCTAATCCTCCACCTGCAGTGCCAGCACCCCTGGTTCTAGTCCCAGTTGGGGCGCCAGATTCTGTCCCGGTTGCTCCTCTTCCAGTCCAGCTATCTGCTGTGGCCCAGGAAGGCAGTGGAGGATGGCCCAAGTGCTTGGGCCCCGCACCCCATGGGAGACCAGGGCGGGTATGGAGGGGGAGCACCTGGCTCCTAGCTTCGGATCAGTGTAGCGCGCCGGTCATAGCAGCCATTTGGAGAATGAATCAACAGAAGGAAGACCTTTCTCTCTGTCTCTCTCTTTCTCTCACTGTCCAACTCTGCCTGTCCATAAAAAAAAAAAAAGTGTGCAGGACTCCCATATTATGCATCACAGGCTGGACTCTAAGTTTAGGGAGGCATTCTACCTTGTAGGTATCATTTTCCCACTTCAGTCAACCTGAAGCTCATCTTCTCCACATGTTTCTCTGTCTCTGGCTTCTGTGACTACTGGGCAATCCCTCCAGACTCAGCTATCAGCAAGACCTGACCTCTTATTGAATTTCTCTCTCTTTCTCTGTCTCCCTCTCAGATATCAGGAACTGCTGGAGCTACAGGGACCTGCACTGGCTACAATGAAAGGGTGCAAATAAAAGTAGCTTTCCTCATTAATGAGCAACATCTTGATAGAAAATCCAGTCATGTCCTACCCTATCCACTCAAGATTTGTTCTCCATCAGGATGGAAGACATTGTTTCAGTCTCATATTATTGTTACCACCTAAGGACACCTAGGCCTGAGACCTTAACTTGGGCACCTCTCAATTCTCACCACATAACCAACAAGATCTGGCAACATCCAGGAGTGAGTAACACGCTAAGTCAGACAAGTGTTGCCTCCAGCTAGAAGCAGAGTTTTTGCTGTTCAGCCTGAATTGAATGAAGAAGCATTTGTCAGACAACTACAGAATGCTGAGCATTGACCAACGGGTGTGGCTTTGACAGAAATTGTCAATGACAACAAAAAGAAGCGGTATTTTTTGCTTAAAGAGTACGTTACTGTATTCCTTTAGTCCTGTGGAAACAAAAGCATCTCCTCGCCTTGTTGTCACTGACAGTGGTGACATTACCTTGTTTTGGAGGGCATGTCAGTTTCTGGTCTCAGGAATTTGACAATTTCCTCATGATTCGCTTGGCCCTAAACATTACTCCCAAACAGTACTCCCTGTTACTTCACATCTGGAGGCAAAGCATGGACAGTTTGTCCATCAACATTACGGTCACACTAGGATTGGATATCAAGTTACAGTCATTTTGATATGTATCCAAAAGATACTTTACTCTTATATTATCAAAAACCGTAGAGACTGGCAATTGAAGAATGTATAGATACTCTATTCTCTATTGATTTTTCTGCAGAGATTTTGCCACCAATTACTCATCTCCGCCTGGATTGGTTCTTATATTCATTTGTGTACATTGGAAATCTTCTATTTTATTATTTCTATATACTAATATTTATTGAATTTCTGTAGTATAAGTGAACATCCCTTCTATTATTCCATACCAATAAATATTTTGTTTTGTTTGCTATCATTGTGGTCCTGGTAATTATTTAAATTAAGTATTACAGTCGCCAGCAGCGTGGCTCACTAGGCTAATCCTCCACCTGCAGCACCAGCACGCTGGGTTCTAGTCCCGGTCAGGGCGCTGGATTCTGTCCTGCTTGCTCCTCTTCCAGTCCAAGCTCTCTGCTTTGGCCTAGAAGGGCAGTGGAGGATGCCTCAAGTGCTTGGGCCCTGTACCCACATGGAAGACCAGGAGGAAGCACCTGGCTCCTGGCTTTGGATTGGCGCAGCATGCCAGCCATGGCAGCCATTTGAGGGCTGAACTGATGGAAAGGAAGACCTTTCTCTCTGTCTCTCTCTCTCTCACTGTCTAACTCTGCCTGTCAAAAAATAAAATAAAATAAAATAAAAGTATTACAATCAATCCATTACTAACAAGATTGCTTTTGGTGAATATGGAAATATGCTTATTTCACTATTTATGTGATATTATAAATTCTCCTCAAGAGTGTGCTCTACTTAAAATATTGGGAGTTTGTTATTATCTTACCTTTTTTTTTCAATAGAGAAGCACTTTTCCTTTGACATTAGAATGAGCTAACACATACATGTGAGCTACTGTTTAGATGCCTGTGTCACATCTCTCAGCATATTACAGCTGCTATAACAAAATACCACACTCTACTTAGCTTATGAGATACAGAAACTTACTTCTCGTAGTTCTGCATGCTGGAAGGTCTGTGGTATTTGATGAGGGCTCCTTTCCTGGTATAAATGGTTTCTTCGGTGTATATCCTCACATGATAGCAGGTCAAGGTAGCTCCTGGCAGCCTACATTTTAAGAGAACTAATGATATTCATGAGGGCTCTGCCCTGATGATTTGATGAACTCTCAAAAGATGCCACTCCTAATACTAAGACTTTAGAGGTTAGTATTTGCACCTATTCATATAAGAGTCCACACACACACTTGGATCATGCCACCCCCTCTCTGATCTGACGAGCCAGGGGGGAAGCAGAAGGAGGATAGAGAGATAGGATATGGAAATTGGGGAGGGATAAGGATGGTGAGGTAAATATCAAATATTTTCCTCCTTGGGCAAAAATGTCCTTTCTGACCTCCATCTCATTCAAATCTGTGATCACCCCTCACTCTGGTCTCCATCCCTCAGCCTTCTTTCTTTCCACAAAATAGCCATGCAGCCCTGCTGTCTTCCCCTGGTGCTGCAGACTCTGCATTTTTACTGATACTCTCCAAGTCCCAGTGCCTGAGGACTCTACCCTCCCACCCCAATTCTCCACAGACTCTTGTCTTCTGGTTTTAGAGGGCCCAAAGCACAAGAATGTCCCTGTGAAATGCACATACAGATGGAATGGTTGGATCCCTCTGCTAGCTGGAAGCCAGCTGTGCCAGCCAGTTCTTTCCTGAAGAGATGTGTGAAGACCACAAGATTGCATTAGATGTGCAGGATGTGTTTAGACACCACACTGATAATGTCCTTGTCACTGAACCCTGAATCTATTAATCCATCACATTATTGCAATTTATTTCAGTTTTTTTCATTATCATTGCCTAGAATGCATATCTGGCTTTACACATTTTTTTTTTTTTTTTTTTTGACAGGCAGAGTGGACAGTGAGAGAGAGAGACAGAGAGAGAAAGGTCTTCCTTTTGCCGTTGGTTCACCCTCCAATGGCCGCCGCTGCAGCCGGCGCACCGCGCTGATCCTGGCAGGAGCCAGGAGCCAGGTGCTTTTCCTGGTCTCCCATGGGGTGCAGGGCCCAAGCACCTGGGCCATCCTCCACTGCACTCCCTGGCCATAGCAGAGAGCTGGCCTGGAAGAGGGGCAACCGGGACAGAATCCGGCGCCCCAACCGGGACTAGAACCCGGTGTGCCGGCGCCGCAAGGTGGAGGATTAGCCTATTGAGCCACGGCGCCGGCTGGCTTTACACATTTTTAACCCTAACCAAAAATGCTTGCACTGCTCTAACCCAGGAACCCAGAACTCCAGTCCTGGTGCAATCTATAGACATGCTTGCTCCTATGCCCAAACAATGAAGACCAATGGCCACATTGTGTCCAGGGGTCAAAACCTGGAAACAACCTAAATACCCACCATTACTAGGATGAAGAATCATGCTGTGGCATGTTATTAGCAATGAAAATGTCTGAATACTTGATAATTACTACACTCAACACTGTGAGAAAAAAACCATTGAGTGCACACAAGTGTAACAGCAAACTCCAATATTAAAACTACATTCTTTGCTGTGGACTCTGATTAGGACTCTGGTTACATATGAAAATTAAACAATACAAATGTAGAATTAGTTAGGTCAAACGAGCTCTATGGAAGCGTCCTCAAGGGCATTCTAGTTTGAGACTCAATTTGAGAAACTGGCCTAATCAATCCTAAGAGCAGGCATACAAAATATTGAAAGAGAGATACTACAATTTCCCACATACTTTTTACCTGATAAAAGCAAATGTAGTTTTTAAAAGAAATTTAAAACAATTACCCAGATAGAATCAAAAAGAGAAGATTCAACATTTTTAGACGTTGGTCTTCTGTTATTTGGATATTGAAGCCTTTCTGGTTTTTGTGCATTTTTTATCTTTCATTTTTTTATAAATATAAATTAAACATGGAACAGCCTCTAACACTCAGGTGGGAGAAGAGGATAGAGTTCCTGGCTCCTGGCTTTGGCCTCCCCCAGATCTAGCTGCTAGAGCCATTTTGTATTTGGGGAATGAATCAGTCTGTCTCTCTTTATATCTCTGTTCCATGACTTTCAAATAAATAAATCTGTCTTTTATAAAAGCCAAATTGATTTAAAATGTTCTAAAGTTACTGGCAGTAAGATGACTAGGTCTCTGAATGTCATAGTAATTCTCAATATTAGAATAACCGGTCCCACCAATACATATGATTCCCTTCTTTACATGGTAAAGAATGGTTATGGCTGGCGCTGCAGCTCACGTGGCTAATCTGCCACCTGTGGCGCCAGCACCCCGGGTTCTAGTCCCAGTTGGGGTGCCAGATTCTGTCCCGGTTGCTCCTCTTCCAGTCCAGCTCTCTGCTGTGGCCCGGGAGGGCAGTGGAAGATGGCCCAAGTGCTTGGGCCCTGCGCCCACATGGGAGACCAGGAGGAAGCACCTGGCTCCTGGCTTCGGATCGGTGCAGTGCTCCGGCCACAGCGCACTGGCCATAGTGGCCATTTGAGGGGAGAACCAACAGAAAGGAAGACCTTTCTCTCTGTCTCTCTCGCTCACTGTCTAACTCTGCCTGTCCAAAAAAAAAAAAAAAAAAAAAAGATTGATTGGCTATAAGAATAACTTGTCCAGAGGTTTAGTTACTTAAAATTTATACATCTAATATTCCATTCTTATCACAATTACTACTAGCTCCCAGATGAGGCTCCAGAACTATATTTCCTGATAACGAAAGTGAGAAGAAAGTGACTCTCTGAATATATGATTATATCAAGGACCAGGAGGTTCCAAGATGGCGGAATAGGGAGGGAGCTTACTGATCTAGTCCAGGAGTAGATAGTTTAATAAAAGTGGAGATAGTGTAGTTTCAGGGAAGAGTTACGGAAAAAAAACAGCAGATGAAACTCTTTCGTAATTAGAGGGACACAGTGGACCTACGTGGATGACATGGGTGCCCAGCAGCCGAGAGCATCTTCACCAGTGCTGGAAAGTGAGTTGAGATGAGACTGCAGTAGCCTGAGACACTGGTGGAAAAGTGGCAGGAAGAGCCTAGAGGGAACGAGGCTGAAGACCCCATGGGGGAAAGTACACCACCCTAACTAATGAGAGAAAAAATAAAAGGGATGGTACAGATACGATTGGTACAGATACAGATACTTTCTCCAGTCACCTTACAAAGGTATATGAGCCTGTAGAGTGGGCACCATTTTAGACATATGTAACAGCTGCGCCAGTTCTAGGCTGTGCCCAGCAATCAGCTGAGCAGAAAAACCTGACTCTCATGGGGAGTAATAACAGGAGACTAAGACCTAGTGACTGTGTGGAGCTTCTGAAATGGGACTGTGAAAAAAAAAACAAACTGAGGGTGTGTGGAGAACTCACAGTGAGGGTGAGACTTTGAGTAGTCTCGGTCGGAGTTGCCACAAGCTGGGGCAGCACTGGCTAGCCGGTGAGAGACATTGCTGTGGAATCTGACTTACACTGAGGACTGCACAGATCCTTTGTGTGGTCCTTGGGACAGAGCAGAGAAATATACCCACTGGGGCTAGCACTCAGGCACTGATCACCATCAAGGAGAAGAGCTCAGCTGAGCAGAATTACCTCCCTTCTGATTAAAAAGAGAGAGAGAGAGAGGGAGTTACCATGCCAAATCTGGGTGTCACCTTAGCCACACCCTTAACCCTGAAGAACTGAACAGAGCTCACTGGCTACACTCACCACAAGCCTCCAGAGATTCACTGAGAGCAGGCAATCCACTTACCTACAGAGTGTAGTACAACGAAAAAAGCTGCCACAGTAGAAAAAAAAAAGAAGAAACCAACGAGTATCCCCACAAATGCCGAACAACAAATGCAACAACTGAGGAAACAAGAATAAGGAAGACAACATGACACTCCCAAAAGAACATGACACTTCAATACAAGATTATGAAGATGATGAGGTAAAAGAAATGTAAGAAATAGAACTCAAAAAATTGATAAGAATATGTAGAAGTAATCAAAAACAAATGCATGAACTACTGAAATCCATGCAAGACATGACAGAAAATCTCTCTCGTGAAAATGAAATCTTAAGGAGGAATCAAAATGAAATGAGAAATTAATAGACCATGAAATTGAGATATTGAAATCAAAATGAAATGAAGAATTCAATAGAACAAATAAAAGACACATTTGAGAGCCTTAAAAACAGAATCAGTGAGGCAGAAGAGAGAATATTGGAGTTAGAAGACATAGCATAGGATAGTATACAGTGAAACCAAAGACAAGAAGAGGAAATTAGGAATCTAAGAAATATTGTTGGGAATCTA